AAGCACTGCAGAAATAAAGATGAACGTGTGAATCAAACACAAGTAGTGACCATCCCTGGTGTAGAAAAGAGTCATATTCTTCAAGGCAAATGCTGATAAGGAGATTATTTTGGACAAGCAGTCATAAACTACTGTTGAACAACATGTTGTTATATATCCCCAGTGCTTTTATGTGACACTTCCTTATTGATTTATTGATAATGGCTTGTTCGGTGATATTAAAGTGATTTTGAGTGGCTGTGCCCTACAGATGAACCTCATTTGTGTGACCGCTCACTTAAATCTTTGACCTCTTGCACTATACTGTAGCTGTTAGGTGTAAGTACAAGCTAACTAGCATAATTCCCAAGGGTTTTCCCTGACGGCTTTTACTGCATTGACAGAGTCACACCTCTCCCTCAGCCCACCTCAGTGACTGCGATAAAGACGCCCCAGAGGACTCAAGCCTTTAGCCTGATAACCTTTCACACTGCCTCCATCCGTTACTACCACAAAGCTCTATCGGTGAAGGACAGCTGGCTATAAAGAGTTTTAAACAGGCTTCTTTTCTCAATGTGTGGTAACACAGCACAGCTGTTTACCCTCTGTCCACAGCAGGCCGGGATGACCTCTCAACACAACATCATTAGACAGAGCTGGTATTGTACTAAACGTCCCACAGATAGACCACGAAACAACTAACGCAGAATGTCTGAATGAGCCCTCAGGATTTTATCATCATTCATCTCCCATAAATAATTACATTCAGCATATGGATTTCCAAACAGATGTAAATACAGTTGCCCTCAGTGCCATTTCTCACATTCATGGTTTACCCAACAAAATTAGGGGCAACAGTTCTGTTGTTTTTTAATAATGTTAATAATATTATTATTAATAAATCAAGAATTACTACAGAATTCTAGACAGTTTACAATTACTAATAATCAATGCTTTCACATTCTAGTATTCAATTAATTTGTCAAATATTTCTTAAGGTAAATCAGATTTAAAAACCATGCTAAATCAGCATTATCCTCCGAAGATTGTGCAAAAACAATAAATAAAAAACACAATTTATCAGTGTAGGCCACAGTGTAATTTTAGTACCCCTGAGTAACTACCAAAGTAGTTTTTTTTTCTTTTTTATAAGTTTATCTGATGTGTTGTGATTTTATTAGGTCTATAAGGATTTTATTAGTTTGAAAATATACCAATCTTTTCTCCTCTAAAGGCTTATTATGCGGTATCTGTCGCCATCTTGTGGATGGACAATGTCCACCGCCTTTGCTCTGCTCAGTATGAGCAGATGTATGCTCTGCTCTGATGTATGCCGATGTGCTGTATCTCAGAAATTTAAATATTTAAAATAGACACTATCCTTATAAATGAACGGCAGTTGCAATCTCAACAACTACATTCTCGCCTGAAAAAGCCTTAAAAGTACATCATGTTGCCCAACAGATGCAATATTTGTCAAACTGTAGTGAGTTTTTTCATCTGCTGTCACTCTATGTGGGCGGAGTAGTAAAGAAGGGTGAATAGGCTGTACAAGTGCTGTTATTGCAGAATATCGCATGGCTGTAAGGCAATCTGATTCGAATACCAGACAGCACTGCTGTATAAATATATACACACATTTTGTGATGTTTCATTTAATATTTAGTACTCTGAAAACAGTTATTTACTAATATACATTTATAATTTTTTCCTGTAACATTAATATATATTGATTTTGTCTAAAAGCATATAATTCATATAGAAATTTAAAAAAGAAAATGAGAAGTGCCATCAGATTATGATTAAGTTATATTGATTAATTTTCCTGTTCCAAATACCAATTCATCATTAGCAGAAAAAAGTTGTCTAAAATAATAAAGATTATGTGTCTAAGAGACAAGAAACAAGCAGAAAATACACTCATCTTTCATGTTGACTATAATAAGATAATCAGATGAGACTTAAAAGTCCATCTGCCACCCTGAGAACATAAATTCCCCACATCTCCCTGCGTCCATTACTTCAAAACTTCAAATCAGAGGAACCAGATTAGATCAAATCAGATCCCTGGAGTTTTCAGATCAGGTTTGAGCTTTACAGCAGATCAAGACGTTCACGTGGCACAGACAGATGTATCTGACCCCAAAGGCCTGGGCGATCTGTCACTTACAAGACTATTAGTGATTTACCGTTTCCACCGGATAAAGCTCTGCAAGACCAGCTGCACATTCGAAGCATGACACTGAGGTGCCAGAGGTCACTTTAAACTCTCAATCCAATTTATTCACCTTGGCAACATTCTCTGTAAAAAACAGACATGGACATCTCTGTCATATTAATCAAGCCAAATGGCCCTATTAGCTTCTAATTATATCCACGGTAACCCTGTGCATGTCAGCCTCATCTCAGGAATTCATGTCCTCCAGCTCCTTTAAATGAACCCTGACCCCGTGGCCTGCCAAACTAACACTGAGAAATATCCCTCACACATTTCAAACACACTCACACCTGCGCAGAATTACTGCCTGCTAGCTGTCTGCCACACACTAGCATGCTAACAGACACACAAAAGCCTAACTGTACGTGTGGACGCAGCGTGTAATCACAGAGAGGAGATGGTTTTAGCGTCAGCAGCGCAGTCTGTTGTTGTTTTTACCATCTTCCACCGCAGCTACCAATTCCGCTTTCCCACAGTTTCCCCAAACACACACATTCGCCAAAACAAAGGAACAACAAACAGCTAGTATCTGCGTTTACGTTAACTAGCGCACAACCCAAACATGGTCTGCAAACGTATACAGCAGGGGTCACCTATTAACCCAGTTTGACCAATAACTAAGCCAGGAATGTTGGAGTTAATGGATCTCAGAGAGGGAGAGAGATAGGGATCTTGACCTGCAGACAATATGACACAGAAATACCTCACAGTTGTTATTACATGCACTGACTCAGTTCCTCATTTCTCAATTGCTTTTAGTTTGACACATTGTTGACGTTCATGCCAGGGATGCAGATATTTCATAGAGGTTAGCACGTTTTTTTTGTTGTTGTTTTTTTATGATTAACTGTCATTTAGTGCAAGTTACACTCTTAAAAACAAATAATTTCATTAACAGATGTAATAATTAGTTATCATTAGGCTCACATGAAATCTGCACACGCAAAAACATTTCCACAGATTTTTAGCCCATCATTGAGCCTATTTATTTATAGGGATTTCCCAATCAGGTTTTTTTACCCTCGAGTCTGAGTCATTTGATTTTGAGTATCTACCGGTACCAAAACCTGATCTGATACTTCTACAATACACGAAAATAATAAAGTAGAGCAAAGAAACAGATCCAAGATTTTCCCTATTTTTAATTTAATTCAACTTATTTTAATATTCAATAACTCAACAACAATAAATAACATCAATTCTTTACTTTTGGACTTTAGTGCAACAGTACATATAAAAAAAATACCAAGTTTACATATCTCTCGTGTTGCTATGGCAATGTTGTGGTCATTGAATATTATTCAATTTATAAAACCTCCAGACCGCAGACATACTCCTGCTTTCCTATTTAAGCTGCTTCCGTCTTCAACTTTGCCGGCATTTAACCAATAGAGTCTCTGCAACAAAGTGATGTGGGAGGTAACGTCTGATTCCGATTGAGTCTGAAATTGCATGATCGGCCCCGATTTCTGATCACCTGATCAGATCTGGATATCCCTATTTATTTACTTGTGTGCAAATTTATATTTATTCAATTTTTTATAATAATTATAGTATTATTATTGGCTAATATGAAAATATTCCTATGATTTATTTACAATACAGTTTATAAAGTAATAATTTCTGTCTTTTAGTAGGTATATTATATGAGAGACTTGCTTTGTTTACCAAATAAGTGGATTTAATTGGATTTGCATTGTAAACATTAAATAAAAGTTTAAAAACTATTATTTTTAATTTCATATATTAAGTTTTTAGTTATAATTCTGCATAAATCCGCTGATTTTTTACAAAATTCTTTACAGAAACAGCAAAAAATGTCCACAGATGTCTGGCTCTACTTATCACTATACAAATAAAATATTTGAATTATATTGCTGTGATGCCAAAACCATTTAAAACCATTTTATTTTTCTTTATTAGAGTATTTTATTTTACTAATATAATTTAATGGTTATCACCCAAAACATGAACATTTTATTGGAAATAGCTTTGCCTATGTTTACTTGTAGCATTTAAAAATACAGTATTTAACTAATATTGCATTATTTATTTTGATAAAATATAATTTAACGTCTGAAGTAAGACGTCTTTCTGAGACTTTTTAAACCAGTTTTAAGGTATTTTATATAAAAAAACAACTATAATTAAAAATAAACATTGGTTTGAAAAGATCTAACCTAAAAAATTACAACTATAAGCCATAAAAGGAAAATCATCTTCTCAACTAATTGATATCGTCATCTACTGTATAACAAATGAATGGCACAAAACAACTTTCATCAAAAAAAAAAAAAAAAAAAACAGAAACACAACCAAACAACAGAGCTCATAAATACAAAGTGACAGCCATCCACCGTTTTAAAGCAAGTAATAAAAATAAAAACTCCAAATGAGATGGGAAAATACCTGAAGTTTATCTATATTTAATGTCTCAAAACCTGAACTCAATCACCCTACACTCACACCATCCCATATAAACAACCATTACGTCCTACAAGGCAATCAGTCCAGTCCCAGCACGCTCAAATTAGACTAACTAGAGACTCACATCCTTTATAAATGAATGATGAAATGAGAGGACATGAGTTATACATGAGCTTCACTGTTCTTGCAATTACAGTGGTGAAAAAAGAAAAGTAAATGAGATAAAATGATTTAAAAAACTAACCAAAATCCTGTGTTCAACAAATCCCTCACACAGACACAGACAACACAAAACTAACTGCAGAAAGCTTGAAAATAATCCATTACTAGTCTATAAATCAATTGGATCATCTCTGCTGAGGGTTGTTTAACTTACCAGGACAAGTGATTTCCGAGAGCAGGATGAAGCTCTCAAGCTGTAGAGCCTTTTAAAGAATGGAGCTCAGCAGAGAGTCGGCGCTCCAGTGAATGTATCTGTGCGAGTGTGTGTGTGTGTGAGTGCGACTGAGACGGCAACTCAAATACCACTTTCCTCCTCCCTCTTCTCTATTTGGCTCCTCCCACAGTCTGCTCTTTCAGGAAGAGCCAGACTGGAGAAATACAAGCAGGAAGAACAACACTTCCCAACGGATACATGACCAAATCAATTCATTCATGCACCACAGTATGTTGTGTTGGTGCCTTATTTACACCACAAATCCTTTGCCTATTCTTGGCCTCAAGTGGTTTTCCGATTGAAGCTTTGGATTCCGGCTGGAGATATTTGTGATGGTCATTTCCCAAAACACCTTTAAATAATCTTTTCCCACGTTCCACCTAAAGGAAGTGATATAAGAGTGTCTGTCGGCTTCATCAAAGTAAATAGAGTCCAGCAGAACACTGAAAGACAGGCAGTGGTGGCCATAAGGAAATCCCGTCATCTGCTTGTACAATTTCAGGAAGACTTCCAAAGAATTACCTGAGAGAGACTCATTCAGTATGACTGTTTCTGTTCTTGGAAACTGCATTCTTCTTGGAAGAAGAGTCTGTGGTTTCTCGGCTCTCCGAGTATGAGTTTTGGTTGAGCGTCGCCCTCAAAACACAAGTTCATCTCGTAAAATCCCGTAAAAGCAGGGAGTGGATGAAGTCCAGCTCAGAGGGACAGAAAGGAATGAAAGTTATGAAGCAACACTTCATTTCACTGACACACCAGTTTCAAACTCACTTCAGAGACTCCGCCTCTGCGTTTTAAGTAGGATTAACTGGATTATCTAAGGAGTGGTTGGATAAAGTCTGGTTTGGCAGACCACCTTTGTGGTGAAGGTGAATGTTCTCCTGAAACACAGATAACATCTGCCATCCAGATGCACAACAAATAAACTAGTCTGACCTAAAGAGATTCTCCTCTCCAGGTCTATTCATTCAATCAGTCAAGTAGGCTTATGGCCGGATTAAATGTTTTTTTTAGTGCGATTAATTGTTGAAGCTTTTATCTTTTAATATTTAGTATATGGGATTATCACGATATTGACGTAAACTTTAAAAAAGATTCCTTTAACAGGTATATGTTTCAACCAAATTAAGGTACAAAGGAATTATAAAGCACAATATGGTAACTTTATACAATAAAGTCTCACTATAAATGTTAGTAAATGGATTAAAATCTACAGTCTACAAAAGCCAGATTAGTTACAGTGTTAATTTTAGTAAAAAAATAAATAAAAATCCACCCCATTTAATAAATCTTAAAAAAAAAAAATAATAATTATTAACTAAGAAAGTATTTGAGGACTTTATACACTTGGAATACTTTAAAGAGCACCTACGATGAAAATCCTCTTTTGGAAGCTATTTGGACAGAAGTTAGAACTGTGTGTAGGTATAGTGTGTCCACAGTCGTATTGGGGTGATATAAACACAATAAGTCTCTTTTTTATATTCCTGACGTTAAAATAGGATACAAATTCTGTTAAATGCATCCGTTGTGAGTGTGTGTGCGTGCGTGAACTTTGTAACAACACATTATTAATAATAAAAATAATGATACATTTTATTTGTAATGGGCTTTCCTTAGACTCAAAGTGCTACAAGGCAAAATACTAATAATACAAGGCAAGCAGAAACAGCATAACAATATAAAGATGCAATAAAACAATAATATAGAATATGATATAGAATATGAACAATAAAATAAAATAGTTAACAAATTGATCATCTTAAGTTAAAAGCAATGCTAAAAAGGGCAGTCTTAAAACGTTTCTTAAAACAGTCCAGGGAAGCAGAGTAATATGGTGGCATGATGATGTGTGTGTCAGAACCCCTGTAGCAAAATTCTGTATATACTGTAATCTTTTGAGAGAACTTGTAAGTAAACCCCCAAAAAGTGAATTACAGAAATCAAGACGTGATGTGATAAAGGCACGGATAAGCCTCTCTGCATCAGGTCGTGAGAAAAATAGTCTAATCCGTGCAATATTGCGGAGATGAAAGAAGGCAGTTTTTGGTTTATGTTGTATTGTGTGTAACTCATCGCTGCAACTCGAAAACAAATACATCCATTAATCATTGGTAAAGTTCTTACTGTAGTATTTCTCACAGATGTTACAAGAGATCTGCTTTCTTTGGGCCCTATCATACACCCGGGGCAAGGCGCAACGCAATTGTTGTTTGCTAGCTTCAGCTTGGCGCAAGAGTCGTTTTGACGTTTTGTGCCACGCTGTTTAAATAGCAAATGCATTCTTGTCTAAAAAGGCAGGCGTGTTGAGGTGTATTGCTGGCACGTTGACATTTTGAGAAACTATGATAGATTTTTCATTAGACCAGAACAAAGCCGGTCTATTGTCCAGCGCAGAGCGCGTTAGTTGTGCGCCTCACTTACACAATGCTTAATACGCACAAGATCAATACGCAATACGCAAATATCTGTACATATGAAAAAGAATTAAAATATCAAGGATGTATATAAGATATAATAAGAATATATATAGGTTATAAATATAAAGGATTAAAATATTACAAAACATATTATTTCAGTTTATTCATAACTATTTCCTATTGTATAATGTTATCATTATAAGTGGCGGTATTATTTATTATATCCATATTTATATTTGTTTTATTAAAAACAAGCTTAGATTTGACCACCTGTCAGGTTGAAACCATATGGGGCACAGCATGTGTATTTGGATATAACTAATGTTTTTTGACCACACTTCGTTATTATTGTTCATTTATTCGTTTGCTAGAAATTAGAATTGAATTTCGAAATAGTTTTGAAACAAATATTTGCGCTTAACAAACTAAATTAATTGTTTATAGGCTAATGGATGTCTGTGGGTACAAGGTTTCCCTATCCACGAGAGCGAAAGTGAAAGTAGATAATGAGAGGCCTCATCTCTTATTCTCACGCTGTAGATGCTCTGTTTAACTGTTTTCTTGCTAGTGAAATGCTCAGTTTTTCCACCTACAAAGTCGTCAAGTAAATAGCAAATGCGCTATGGCACGACTCAACTGGCTTTTAAAGGGAATGGGAGATGAGACTCTGATAGGTTTATTCTCAAAACACACCTATAACTCATTAATAAAATAAGCTCAACCCTTTTAGATCATGCGCCACGGCGCAAAGCGGACTTTTCCGTCCTTATATAGCAAAAGTGGATTCTGACAGGCCCCTAATGCGCTTGCGCCCTGCGCTTTGCACTTTGAGCAAGGATCGTCAAAATAGAGCCCTTCATATCTGTCACTGTGTTGTTTATCTGACTTAGCCGAGGCGGAGAATGAGCACATGTGGGAACAGTGGGCGGGGAGAACTAGCATTAAAGCTGCAGACAACAAAAACAGCTTCAATGTGTTCAGAGCAGAAAACCCAATATTCTGAAAGGTCTAATAAATAATCTGATGGGTGTTTAGAGCTGAAACTTTACAGACACATTCTGGAGACACAAAAGACTTGCATTAAATCTTGAAAAAGGGGTAAAATAGGTGCGCTTTAAATAATAAATAATGGTATTTCAAAGTGCTCAAATTATCAGTAATGTGCATGTTCATTATCATTACAAAATATTGAATATGTCTACATGTCTACAGTCAAGTCCAGGTGTGGATTCTTTCCACATTCCTCTTGATTTGACTGCCTTTGAAACCCACACCCTCATGCCAAGGGGTGTACCTGAGCCCCACTATAAACACAATACCCACAGAATGTGAGCCTGTGGCTGTGGTAACAGATCCCTATGGGAATGTCTGCAGCTCCATCTGTTTTGAGGAAAGGGAATGGAGCGGATGCTACCAAAAGTCTGAAATATGAATGCAAATGATGATTTACTCCTGTGCATAATTTAATCAATTCAACAATTCAACACAAACTGTATCTGAAGCGAGAATGCAGATTGAGATGTGAGACAGATGTGTGCACCCCTGACTTCTGAAAATGAAACTAAATTAAAAGTGTTTCAACATTTCACTGTCCGTAAACAATGATAAAATTCATGAAAATACAGTGTCAGTGTGATTAGGCATGGGATGATAACCGTTTTCAAGGTATGTACCGTGATTTGAAAAAGTCAAGATTTTAAAACCTCCACATTTTTCTGCTATACCATTCTTACAGTATGTGTACGTTTTTTTTTATTTTTTTATTTAGGTTTTGTTTAAGGCTTTTTGGAACAACAGTATTATTAGCAGATAAGATATCCAAGATATCGTTTTAAATTGTAATTAAATCTGTGTTTTGAAAACTAATGAAGACAGCAGAAGTCATTGATTTATTTAAATTTTATTTAATTTGACATTTTATTTAACCTGACATGTTTACTGCTCCAAAATATTTTAAAAGTTTCTCAAAACAAAATATATTTTGTTTAAAGGGGTAAAAAGTTTTTGTTTCTTACCCAGGCATTTCAAAAGACCATATTTTAAAGTAGAACTCACAACACCGAGAAACCGTAATATTTTTATCCAAGGTTATCATACCGTCAGAATCTTATACCGGCCTACGGCTAAGCGTGATAATGATCATGACAACAAGCACTATCAGTGTTTTCACTTCATATAAATTCATGCAAATATCGAGAAAAATGTACAATATTTTACATGGATTTGTTATCATTCCATACATATATCATATATATATACTTTTCATTTTATTTTACAGTTTTAATTTTTTTAAATATTTTTTTTATTTTATATATTAAATTCATAATCCATTTTTATATGAAAAAAAATATTTTCATCAAACTTCTACTGGAATAGAAAAATCTGAAAATAAAACAGATACTGTAGGTATACAGAGAACAAAAATAATTATCTTGTGGTCTCGGTCACTTTGTTACTCCAATTCCCTTTTTCCTCAACTCTCAATTTTCTTAAGCATATTTATTTATAATTTATAAGCATATTTACATATGGATAAGACTAGATTTTGAGTTTGTTGCCATATAAGCTTCTCTGGCTATGTCATGGCAAAAAAACAGAGTTTACAACATATAAATATCACTTTTCTACAATTATAAAAATATTTTAACAATAAAAAATCATCAACATCAATAGTTAATACATAAGATAAAATACATAAATAATAACATATAAGATAAAAAAAAACTACTTTCAATAAAAATTGTGCAATGCTGGAAGGATTCATTTAAAAATATTTCATTTAAAGTTTCTCCAGATATAAATCATTGTCTGATTACATTAATGATAGGGCATTCCACAAGAATATGTTTGGTTTTTGTTTGGTTTTGGTTGCAATGTTTACATTTTGAGGGTCTTCTTTGAGAAAATGTTCATATT